GGTTGACTAATCCCGTAGTGATATTTTGACTGGTCGATACAATGAGTGATCTGTGTAACGGAGAATGAAAATCATATCTATATTTGGACGTTTCCTCCTGTTCTCGGTAAATGCAACTTCAGCCTTTGGCCTAAATATAGTTCTGATCTCTGCAAATGCAATTTTTCTTATTGTTCTCTAACTGCATGTTATATAACGTAACGTTTATCCTCAGTGGGAAGTCTAATTACAACGTAAGGAATAAGGAAATTGTTCACTATGTTGCTAAATTATTGGTTTTATTATAATGCATTAACAACGAACACTCTTTAATGCTGCTTTTGCCTAATTACCATATAAAATCTAGTCAGACCCTAAATGCAACCTTCTTATAGAAACTTGGATCATCTCAACTCGTGATTCATGAATTAAGCTCAGAAGATTACTCGAATCATGTGAGTGATATCAACTTATTCAAATTATTCAAATTACAAAAATTTAAGTTACAATCTATAAAAGCGCGAAATCGTGATAAACTAGAATTATCGAATCACAAGTTGACGAGTCCTACTTCCCTAAATGCAACCTCCCTAAATGCAACCTCCCTAAATGAACCTCCCTAAATGCAACCTCCCTAAAATGCAATACCTATTTACTTGTATTACAAAAGTAAAATCGTTGAATAACCAACCTATGGTTCTACCCTGTAAATGCAACCTCTGCCTTTGGCCTAAATATAGATCTGATCTTTGCATGTTATATAAAGTTTATCCTCAGAGTTACATTTAGGGAGGTCTAATCATAACGTAAAGGAATAAGGAAATTGTTCACTGCGTTGCTAAATTATCAGTTTTATTAGAATACATTATCTCAACTCGTGATTCATGAATTAAGCTTAGAATGGTACTCGAATTATGTGAGTGATATCAATTTAATCGAATTATTCAAATCACAAAAATGTAAGTTACAATCTATAAAAGCAAATTTGAGTATCAGACTCTAACAATTACGGACTCGCGAATCTCGAGTCACGACTATCTCCCTAAATGCAACCTCAAAATGCACACTCCAAAATGCAATACCTTTTACTTGCGCTACACAATTAAGTCGTTGAATAACCCATGGTGCTTACCTGTAAATGCAATATTCGACCCAAATATAGTTATGATCCCTACATATGTAATTTTTCTTATTGTTTTCTAATGCATGTTATCGAAAGTTTGGTCCTCATGGGTTGTATTTAGGAAGACACAAGGAATAATATTAGCACAATGGAACAATGCTCATAATCTAATACTAAGTGAAAAAATAGCTAAAAAAGTCAATTAAATGTTTTATGGATTTATGTAGTCTACCCTTTTGATTGTCCGTAGCGTAGCGGAGGACTTTCTATGTTTACGTAAGGTGATACAAAAGTTCCATTTTTGATGCATCAATAATAGTAATATCAAAAATGTAACTCCCGAATTTGGTGTCTGTCCGCATACGTATAATAGTTACGTTTTTGATACATCACATTGTTTTGATTTGTGTTGCATCAAAAAAATGAAATTAGATTTTAGTCATTACTGCGCTTCGGACACACAATGCTGCGCATTAACCTAGTTATAGTTATGGTTATGATTAATGATGCAGGTGAATTATTTCCATATTGGAAATAATTCTACAACGGCTGTGGAATTGATAACAAGATCTTCGCTCAATGCACAGAGGAGCTTTGATCAGGAATATTTTTTATGTAAAACAAAATATGTGCAGAGTGTTTTAATTAGAGATTTATAAGAATGGAATCTGTATTATTTCACTGGGATACTTCAAGAACAATGAACCCAGTGCTCATCACATTATGTGAAATTATATCAGACAAATTGGCCTAAACTATACTATCACCTAACCCATTCGATATAAGTTCATTTCACGAAAGTTTATTTCATTAATAGCTTATTTTACTGACAAGCGTTTAATAAATCAGCATTTTCACGTAAAAATCCGATTATTAATTACCAAGATTATAGATACTCCATTGTAAGTTTTAACCAAAGTTAGCAAACACTTTATAATTACCGTTATGCTAAAAAAAAACTGCTGGAATTAGACAAGGGCATGAACTTGTTCTTTAACTATTTCATGATAGAGATGATCTACTTACATCCTTAATACTAACATGTTTAAACAACAAATTAAAGTGCACATATCTGATTTCATGTGCTCGAACACTTGGTGCTAGATAATCTGGTCACTCAATTAGGATTAGTGGTTGCACTTCTGATCCTAACCAGTTACTTCCAACATTTCTCTGCCTCAAACTTCCAAAAGCCATTTTTTCGAAAGGATACTGACAAAGTTAGCTATAATGCCGGCCGATTTTAATTCTTTCAGGAAAATGATTTCAGAAAATTGTACATCATCACAAAGTTGTTTTTATGTAGAGTTACGTAGAATATTTATGTAGAGTTATGTAAAATTTTTATGTAGCTTTATACAGGGTTGGGCAGCCCTCTATGTCCAGTGAATTTCACTGGACACTGGACATATAAATCTGTCCAGTGTCCATTGATTTATTGACATATATAGAATAAAAATTAGTGGCAGATTATTGTCCTAATTATTTAGCTTGCTTGACTTTGAACAGAGGTTTCTTATTTCTAAAAAAAATTACAGCCAATTTTAGAAATTTAAATTTCATTGGACAACCCACTTGTCCAATTTCCCAACCCTGGCTTTATAAACCCAATATAGATTTACATAGATATTTATATAAATCTATGTATATATCTATGTAAAATTTCGAAAAAATTTCAGCTTAAATATTAAAGTTAGAAATGGATTTTAAAGCTTAAATTAGGGGTTTGGGAAGTATTTTCTGGCCTGCCTGCTGAACATTTTACTTAGCATATCAAACACTGATTACCTTAGCCATTTTTGAGAAATAGACAAAGTAAATTAATTCATTTTTATGTAGATATAAATAGAATTTATACAATTTTTATATTTATATAAATAATAAATAACATTTATATAAATATTATATTAAATTATATATAAAATTCTAATTATGTAAGTCTACATTGGGTTTGTAAACCTAAGTAAAAAATTTTATATAACATTTATATAACTTGATAGAGCTATGTAAATTTTATAAAAAAATGTACTTCGTGATGATATAGTAGCCTCCTCACGTGGTTGTTGCTCAATCCCCCAAAAGTTACTTCACTGCCAACTCATTTCCCCGACACCATATTGCCGACATGCCATTTCACCTAAAGCACATTTTTTCAATAAGATATATATTCGACATTACATGTTTTCAACAATCCTTTTCTTAGGCAAGACATTTCCTTGACAATCATTTCTTCGACATAAAATTGGCTCGATCTAGCATTAGAGGTGTGCTAATGTTGGTTAAGATTATATGTCGGGAAATAATTGTCGGGGAAATGACTTGTCTAAGAAAAGGATTGTAGAAAATATGTAATATCTAATAAATGACTTATCAAAAAAATGTGCTGTAGATGAAATAGCATGTCGACATTACAGTGTCGGGGAAATGAGTTGGAGGGGAAATAACTTTCAGGAAATTATACCGTAATCCTTCACTTAGCCATCTTTCAATTCGTAACATCTATTAACTTGAAGATATATAATCCATTTATTGCTATGCATTTGAAATGACTAACAAATCCTTCCTTTGATTATCAATGATAATCATTTTATCAACACAATAAAAAACCCTATAAAAAAAAAATGTAAATTTTAAAGATCCAATGAATAGGTCTACAAATTTGCATTGGTTCGGTCACTAATATTTATGTCTAAAATCATGGTTTGGATATAATTTGTTATAGCATTTTGTAATTGCACTTATGCATATAATCACATTTAATCTTTGCTTTTAAATAATTTGATTTGAAGTTTTTAGATTTAATTATGTATGCTGCAATAGAATAAACCACGAGAAAATCAGTATCGAAGATTAAATCGTGCTGAGAAAGTGCTATATATGTTTTGTGAAGGTGCAGCTGCATCCTTGCACACTATATGCATTCACACCCTTGCTCACTATATGCATTTATCCAATAATAAGCAGATTTAATTTGCAATATAACAATATACTTCGTAAAATTTTCAAGATCACACCGTTCCTGGCTTTTTATTCATTTCATTTCAAACCTTAAATCTGATTAAGTGAAATAATTACTGTCATAGGCAATCAGTAATTATTATCAGTAATTATTTTTTTACAACAATTATGTTAATAATCTCGATTTAGAGTTTGAATGAAATAATTATCTGAGAAATCATTCAATATCGATATTGCAGCAACATTTGAATCTGAGAAAATAGGTAGACCATATGGAAGTGACGAATCAGAGATTAATGGAAATGGATAATTCTTCAGTTATTGTTGGCAACTGCTTAGGGCTGTGACATTTATTACGTAATTTTTTAGGGGGTGGGGTTGAGCATGTATTATATCAACATCTTACGTTACACAAAGAAATTATATGATTTCTAAATTGGCCAATCATACATATCTTATGTGGGGGGAGGGGTGGTGTTACTATTGTTTGGGAGAGCGATATAGTTTTACAGGGTGATTTAGCTCCAATAGTTAACTTTAAAGGATTTATATGTATTCTTCGATAAGAAGGTAAAACACGTGAGGGTTATGATTTCAGGTCTCGATTTATGTAGATCACGATCAGGTTCTAGCTAAATTGGTCTAAACTTGGGTTATGCACGTAATTTAAGGATGTACAAATAGGGTAATTAGGGCTGACGGGTTGAATTAAGGTAATAATGAAACAATATGACAAGTCTATACTAAGAAATCGGGCAGTTATCCTTATGATGATAAGGTTATTTGGGTTTTTAACAATGGTAAAAATCTTGAGATAAGAAATTAGAGGTTAGGTAGCGTTTTAGGGCTAATTCTAAGGTGTATGCTTAACAATACCAAGATAACAAAATAAATAAAACATAAAAAAAAAAATATATATATAAAAAGGGTTCAATCCTTTACTAAACAGTTTCTAAAAATGAGAAGTCAATTCTTATTATACTTTTATAAAGACATCGAAGTCTGAGGAAAACTTTATTAACGAAAAATGGTGGCCTTTAAATACATTCTTTTCATTATAACTACTGCGCTTCCCTTCTTATCAGAGCAATTTAATTTCCCTCCGCCTCCTCACAACGCTTGTGCATGAGCCGGCACAACAATTGTGAGAGATCCTTCTATAAGTAATCCCCTTCATAATACCGGGAACTAAGCACACAACGATTGTGAGCTAAGCACACGATAGTGGCTAACGATGTCTAATCTATGAATTTATCGCAGCAAACACAACTTTAAAATAAACAAATAAAGAAAATACAAAAATAAAAAAAATAAAAATAAAAGAATTCGTCTAAGCCCTTAAACGGCTCTCATGGGGATCCACGTTATGCCTTATGACATACTCCTCTCCTTAACCTTGAGCTCCCGCTAAGGATTCTGACAGAAATTCTGAAAGTTCTTCTTCACAGACCTTTCTGGCTTCTTCCACAAGTTGCTGGAAGTCTTCTTGAGTCATTCTATAGAGAGCATGTGCCGTGATTGTCTTATTCTCAAGGAGATTAAAAAATCTTCTAGTTTGATATAACCAATAGGCCCGAGCACGATCCTCCAAACCTTTTTCCCTTTATCGCCTTGAATTTTCTCCAAAAGTTCATCTTTTATGTCTGAGCTCTAGGCGGCTTCTTCTAAATACTCACCTAGATAATAATAATATTATAGAAGAGTTATTTGATCACTCTTTCTAGAGAGAATTTGTTCACAAATAAAATCAAGTTTTTCGTTTCGGGTCCCAGTAGGAATTGGTTCAGAGAATCAGATAGAAATGGTGGTTCATCGTAAATCATCAATATAAGATTCCATAGCCCATGAAAAGGGGTTGGTAGTAATTTCACTAGAGAATGTAAGTTGAGCGGGATTCCCTTGAGTATTAAGGAAAGATAAGTTGGTGGCGGTTATGCGAACTTCGCTGACATTGGTGTCTTGGATTAATTGTCGTAGCTTCATGACTTGACCCAAAAATTTACGATTTATTTCCAATTGATGCATAATTTACTGAAATAAAATTTTTCTGGACCAAAGTCAATAGTTAAGGCTTTTTATAAGAAATCTCAACCCAATAAAGAAGAGGCGGGATATATTTCTTTAACCGGTTCCTATGAATTTGCTTCTTCAAAACTCTTTCGCTTTTGAGGGGCTTATTATTTAGAAAGGTCTTCATCGTTCATAACTTGTAAAAGCCATTGCCACAAACTTTATGAATATAGTATGGTCTTGTAAAAGCAGGGTCAAGTTTTGCCTATAGGATGTATCGTGTGAAGATTCATACAACATCACCTTATCACCAATATCATAAGTCTCAATCCGATATTTTCGATCGTGATAAACCCTTTGTTTATTTTGCACCTTTTCAATATTATCTTGAGCTTGAGTTCTGGCAATTTCGAGGTTCCCTAGTATAGAATTAATTCTCCAGGAAAGACAGTCTTGTAATTCAACTTCAGTAGTTGGTTCCACTGGATATGAAGTAATAATTGTTTCGATAGGTAGTAATGCGTCACGGCTGTATACTAGAAGAAAGGGCTCATACCGATTGGTATGGTGCTGAGTAGTCCAATAGGCGAACAAGGCAGTTGAGATAAAGTCGGTCCATTCTCCAGTATACTGTCTGATATCTTTAGCCAATACTTCGCATAAGGTTCGATTGAACCTTTCTACCAATCCATTTGTTTGAGGATGTTAGGCAGTAAAAGTCTACGGCGAACTTTCATTTTCTTGCAAATAGTGTCCACTAATTTATTGCAGAAGTGAGTACCTTGGTCAGATAATAGCTCATGGGGACTTCCATGTTGGCATATAATGTCATCCAAAAAGAAGGATGCAACAGATTCAGCGTTAGCACTTTTAAGTGCTCTAGCTTCCGGCCATTTAGTAAGATAATCAATGGCCACTACTATGTAACAATACCCTTCTAGCATCACCGGAAGTGGTCCTACAATATCGATACCAATCCGGTCAAAAGGTTTACCCACTTTAATTGGGTGTAGAGGTTCTCGAGTTCTAGGCTTTTCTCGTTTTTGGCATGTATCGCAAGCTTTAATGTATTGTTTTATGTTTTTACCCATTTGAGGCTAGTAATATCTGACCATAATTCATTGATAAGTCCCTTCCTTCCCAAAATGTCCTGACAACAGATCAGCATGCATGGTATGCAAAATGAGTTTAATTTCAAAAGACCTTAAGACTCTTAGGGGCCTTTCAGGATTTCTTGGGTTAGTTTTATACAATAATTTACTTCTAACTAAGTAATGTCGAGTCTTATGTTTTAATTCATGTTTACTGCGATTAGGGGGTACCTTAGACCAACTAAGATAGTCTATAAAAGTTTTATATATTTCTAAGTTCATTAAATCAAAAATGGGGTTTCCTAATCGGCGTCGGTATGCTATAAGAGATAATTTTAAAACTTTTTGAATTGGGATAAACTATTGGCGTTAAGGTGTAGTTTTTCTGATTTATGGATGGTAGTAAAGTTATATTTCTGCAAGGTCAGGATTCACCTGGCCAGTCGATTTTGGGGTAGCCGATGAGAAAATAGCGATTTCAATGCGGAATAGTTAGTATAGAGGGTAAAATAGAATCCATGGAGATATGGCCTAAAATACGAAACCACCCAAACTACTGCAAGACGCTCTTTTTCAGTGACTGCATAATTTTTCTCAGCAGCAGATAAAGAGCAGCTTGTATAGGATATTACTCTTTCCTTATCCTCCGTATCGAGTTGCGAAAATATAGCTCCTAAGGCTATATCAGAAGCATCTGTAAAAAGAATGAAAGGTTTTTCAAAATCTGGGTAAGCCAAGATAGGAGCAGTCACAAGTTTACTTTTAAGCTCTTCAAATGCTTCTTGCTGTCGAGTAGTCCAATGATAGTTCACATTTTTCTTAACTAAAGTGTTTAGAGATCCCGCAATATTAGTGAATTCGGGTATAAACCGCCGATAATAAGATACCAATCTGAGAAATCCTCTTAACTACCTTAAATTTTTGAGGATTGGGAATTTTTGAACTGCCCGAACTTTTTCGGAGTCAGTAGAAATTCCTCGGGCCCCTACCATATAATCCAGGAATTTAAGTTTCCTTTTGCGAAGGAAACACTTTGGCAGCTTAACTTTCAAATTGGCTTTCCGTAATCTTTCGAAGACCTCCCGCAAATAATCCAAGTGTTCTTCAAACAACTTGGAATAAACATTTAAGTCGTCTAAATAGATAACAATGTATTTCCCTATGATGTCTCTAAAGATTTGGTCCATCAACCGTTGAAACGTAGCCGGAGCATTTGTCAGGCCAAAGGGCATAACATTAAATTCGAAAATGCCCTGAGAAGATACAAAGGCAGTCTTTGGCTTATCTTCCTCTAACATTTTGACCTGCTAGTACCCACTGGCAAGGTCCAACATGGTAAACCACGACGCTCCATTTAGTGAGTCTAGAAGGTCATCTACCCGTGGTAAAGGGTAGTTATCTTTAATTGTTACAGCATTTAGTTTTCTGTAATCAATGCAAAGCCGCATCTTTCGAGATTTTTGCTTTACAAATACTACTGGAGAACTCCAAGGACTACTGGAAGGCCTAATAATATTTTCAGCCAACATAGCTTTTATTTCTTCTTCCAGAAACTTCTTTTTGGCCGGTGAATATCGATATGGACATTGTTTTATAGGCCATCCATCCTGAATATGGATTTTATATTGGATAACACCACTTCTTCCTAGCTCATTAAGACTTTGAGCATCTAGACTCTCATATTTGTCTAATAATAAGTGAAGTTGATCCTGCTGAGCCATCTCCAGGTCTCTGGTATTATACCTGATGCCTATCTAAACCTCATTCTCATAGTAATAATCGAAGAGATCAGATATTAGTAAAATTTCTTCACAGTAATGGCATAAGATTACCGGCCATAACTCTGGAAATTTCTTTTTTTCTTCCTCACTTCTTTCCCCTAACATTATAGTTCTTCTCTCAACTTTCATAATAATTCTCCTTCTCTATAACTAGCCCAACCACAAATTTTTTCTTCATTCATTTCTAATATTTCTTCTTTTAATGTTTCATCTACATCCGTTTTGATTTCGGAGTATGCAAATATCTGTTCCTCTAAGTCTTCTTCTTCATATTTCTCGTCAGAGTCTTCTTCTTCTTCTTTGTCTTGATTTTTCATTTCTTTTACTTTAACTACTTGTTCTTCTTCTATTGGTGTTTTGGACATTTTCCGAAATTCAACCGGGATTATGATCTCCTTGTTATCCTATAAAATAGTCATTTCTGATGAATTCCAATTTATTGTGGCGTTTGCTTTCACTAACCAATCATTACCAATGATGGCGCTATATACAGTCTCATCTGTCACTATGATATCAATGGGTATTTCAACTCCTCCGATACGGAAAGGAAAGTCAGAAATCTCTTCTATAGCCTTTTTGCTTTCCCCATGGATATTTACCATGCTAACTACAGATGGTCTTTCGACCTTAATTCCTAACTGATGTAATAAAGTGGAAGTGGCAACACTTCTAGAAGACCCACTATCTACTATTAGTGGAATCTTTTTCCCCAAAACTGTGGCATCACAATACAAGGCCATAGATTTAGACGTGGGTTGAATGTTGACATTCCCTTGGGCCTTCTTTCGAACTATAGCTCTTTTCTTTTGTAAAGAGCGAGTTAAATCTTGCCTCATATTTGGTAAGGCTCTTAGTAATTGCTCATAAGTAATATTGGCCGGTTTGTCTCTTATATCCACTACTATAGAGTAAGAAGAAACTAATAAAGAAATTTGAGGCAATTCCTCTTCTATAATCTTTCGCCTTACTATAGAAGTCCTTTTAGTTTTTTCTGGCTGACTTTCTTGTAGGACTGGTTTGGATTCGTCTTTTCTTTCTTGCTCCAGAAATTCTTGTGCCTCTTCAGCTTGTGGCATTTCTTCGTCAACAGGTACAATACACTCGGTCTCTACTAATCCCACTGAGGGCTGCTGGGTTGATAAATTTTTCTTTTTCTGAAGAAGTGGGGTGTTGACAATAGGCCTAGGGCATCCATGTCGGTCAGCTGGTAAGAATAAGGCTTCATGACCTTCTGGTATTCCCAAAAATGATTGTTGTCCCGACGAATGATCAACATTATTATTATTATTATTCATTAAGGCTAATAAAGCTTGAATAGTGTTCTGAGAGTTAAGACCGTTCACTGCTGGGGTAGTTTGGACAGGTGTAGTTCTTGCTGGAGTGTTTTGAGCCGGCATATTCTGAATTGGGGTTCCATTATTAATTGGAGTTACAAGATTTGGGCATTGACAAACTATATATCCAGGTTGCCCACAATTGTAATATACAATACCTTGGGGTACACCGTTTGGAACACCAGGTTGTCTAGATCAAAAAGGTCGTCTTGGTTCTTGCCGTTGAGTCATCATCTGGTTGATGGCTTCAGTTAGCCTATTTAAAACATCCTCTATTCGATTAACATTCTGAAGGCAGTAGGTATTATCCCCAACATGCCAGGAAGAGTGTATGAGGGTACGCTGCCAGTTGGCCCAGTAAAGCCAGATGCATAGAGCTACTTTTATAAGCATTCTCAAATGCTTTAGCACGAGTACAGGCTTCTTCTAGTGTATTGGAAGTTAATGGAGATACCGCTGTATAAAGTTCTGGACGTAGCCCGTTAATAAATATTTTGGGCTTTAGCTGTATCTGGATATTGATGTCCTCCAGATTCTACTCGTCAAATCATCTCCTCTATGCAGTGTGATAATCATCTACACTTTCTCCTAGCAATTGCTTCCTTTGCGTCAACTGTGCGAACCACTTTCCTTCTAGCTCTGGCATTCGAAATTTAGTTACAAAATAAACAACAAAACTCTGGTGGGGTACTAAGGGATCACGCTATTAGTCAATAAGCGGTAATTGATTTCTTCAGTTTATCCACCAAGTTGCAGCCAGACCTTTTAACTTCGGCACAATTACTGCAATCTTCTGTAGTGGTATTACCAGATTAGCCTCAAAGGCTTTTTCCATGTCTTCCAACCAAGTTATTGGGTCTTGGTCTCCTCTGTGGAATTCTGGATATTGTATAGTATTTAGTTCTCTAGAGTTCATAGGAAGGTTTATCTGTGGTTGAGGAGCGGCTTGCATCTGCTAAACCAGGTTGGCAATTTGATTTGCCAGGTTGTACAGAGGGTTATTTAGGTTAAAGACGGGCTGCTGCGGGAGTTGAGTTGTTGCGGAGGTTGGGCCATTTTGTAATTAAGTTTTTAGTATTTTTGATTAAAATCTTTCTATTTTGATTATTCAATTTCATACAATCGGCACCAAATGTTACTATTGTTTGGGAGAGCGATATAGTTTTACAGGGTGATTTAGCTCCAATAGTTAACTTTAAAGGATTTATATGTATTCTTCGATAAGAAGGTAAAACACGTGAGGGTTATGATTTCAGGTCTCGATTTATGTAGATCACGATCAGGTTCTAGCTAAATTGGTCTAAACTTGGGTTATGCACGTAATTTAAGGATATACAAATAGGGTAATTAGGGCTGATGGGTTGAATTAAGGTAATAACGAAACAATAAGACAAGTCTATACTAAGAAATTGGGCAGTTATCCTTATGATAATAAGGTTATTTGGGTTTTTAACAATGGTAAAAATCTTGAGATAAGAAATTAGGGGTTAGGTGGTGTTTTAGGGCTAATTCTAAGGTGTATGCTTAACAATACCAAGATAACAAAATAAATAAAACATAAAAATATATATATATATATAAAAAGGGTTCAATCCTTTACTAAACTGTTTCTAAAAATGAGAAGTCAATTCTTATTATACTTTTATAAAGACATTGAAGTCTGAGGAAAACTTTATTAATGAAAAATGGCGGCCTTTAAATACATTATTTTCATTATAACTACTGCGCTTCCCTTCTTATCAGAGCAATTTAATTTCCCTCCGCATCCTCACAACGCTTGTGCATGAGCCGGCACAATGATTGTGAGGGATCCTTCTATAAGTAATCTCCTTGATAATACCGTGAACTAAGCACACAATGATTGAGCTAAGCACACAACGATTGTGAGCTAAGCACACAATAGTGGCTAACGATGTCTAATCTATGGATTTATCGCGGTAAACACAACTTTAAAATAAACAA